AAAATTAGAAAAACAAATCGCTTTTTTCTTGTAATGCTGCCACGTTATATGTGTGGTGGATATGTTTGTATATTTTTTGAAAATATCTGATTAGATATCTATTCTAAATGAAAACCCCCGTTTAGTTATTTTTTTTACTTTTTACTGCCTGGACGTTGGTTTTTACTTATTTTTTAAAGTTTTTTTCCACGCAAAATTACTTTCTTGCAAATACTAAAAGATATTTAGAATGTAGTGTTTTTACCCTATTTTTTTAACGAAATAAAAACAAAACTAAGGCTTTACAAAGCATTAGAACTAGAACACTCAAGTTTTTCTAAGAAATCCTTACAAATAAAGTAATAAGAAGATATAACAATTGTATACGCCCATCTCTCAGTCTCACTCAGCACATTGCTATCTCAAAATGAAAAATTTTACATCCCACTCAGCATTTTTTGTGAGAATCAAAGATAGCTCTAGATAAAGTCGACCGACAACATCCCTTGTAACAACAATTCCAGTTGGAAAAAAATCTAGGACATGAAACGGTCAGGAATAGCTAGCCAAATAAATGAGAGCTATCAACGTCGTATTCGCTTTGTTTTTGTACGTTTCAGCGTCATTTTTAGTACATAGCGGGGCATTTTTTTTTAAATTACAAGTCCGGAGTAACTTAAATTTTTTCATGTTTTATTTATATATCTTTGTAAGTATTTGAAATATTCTAGTATTTACTATACTTTAAATAAAAAATCATATGAAACAATAGTACATACGCTTAAGGTTTAAATAATTAACCGACTTCCAAAAAGGAAGAGGTTCTTTGTTCGTTTGTATGTATATAAAAGTTACATTTGTGTCATATTATTTAAAAAACATACAATCTATATCCAAAAACCAACACATAACTGCTAAAATCAGTAGAAACTTTTATATTTTTATCTTTCTTGTAAATTCTTTAACATTATTTTAAATAACAATTCCCTTATACAAGCACAAATATATTTTCTGAAAATAAAATTAAACAGCTAGGTTATTACTTTGTCTATGACAATTTTAATTACAAGGTGTTTTTTACTTTAGTAAGTACACAATCCCAGCCCTTTTCATCAAGGTGCCTTTTACGCTGTCGACAATAGAAAACTATAAAAAAGAAATGATGATAAAAATGTAAGTGATCGCTGTCTGTACATGGAAGATATTTGTGAAAAAATATTATTGGGAGTCGTTATTATACGTAACGATAAAGTACTGTGTATGTATGTACTACATACAGCACACAAAAGAACCCAGAACAGTGATGCTTAGAATTTTTTGTTTGCCTGTGCGTTTATTTTTGGTTTGATTTGGTTGCAGTTTTCACTAATATGTTGCTTCACTTAACATTTAGTATTATTTTATTTCAATCGGTTCATAAATAAAAAAGTTATGTCTATATGTAGTATATTGTTGTATATTTAAAGAATCACTAAGGAATGAAGTAGTAATAGCTGAGTCGCTAGTAGAAAACTGTGAATATAAAAAACTGTTATAAGCACGTTCGACGCCATTTTTTTATTCTTCTAACTGCCCTGTCGTCATCTCTGTGTGTTACAACAGCTCTATTTTTTTGTTTTCACTAGAAGAATTAATATTCTCGGGCTCCACGGCAAAAACTGGAAGCTTATAATTTCATCACATCCATTTTGTTCGGAGACTACGAATAACTGTAAAAGACAAAAGTAAGTTTTTCTCTGTTTCGATTTATTAATATCCAATAGTCGGGACACGTCTTTAGGGTTGACAGGTATAATTGTAACTTGCCACTTGAGGAACTACGTTTAAACTTATATCCCGTTCGCCAAGAGTATTTGTATATTAGTATATACTCGTAAAAAGTCCATGTATGTTGACTCGGATCACCTATCATCATACCAAATTTTATGAAAATCTGTCAAGTGGTTTCTGTCAATAATAATGACCATTTCAATGAGATTTTCCAAAAAATATTTAATGTACAGAATCGATTCAGTTAGAATTTTATTATATGTATACACCAACTAATTGAATGTTAGTAAATCAAAATATTAGTTTAGAAAAACCTATACATATTTCTATAATAAGTATAGGATTTTTAAACACTAAGTTAGGTCACAGAATATATGTTAAAGGTTAAATACGATATTTTCACAAGTTTCAACCTTTTAATTTATATTGGCCAAGAGAGCGTAAGAGTGTCACAAACACAGTACTTTAATATTGTAGAGTAATGGACATTGCGAGGGCTTGAAATATAACTGTTCGGAATAATGAAATTTTTGTTTTTATACTTATTTCAATCCACTCTTCTGTGTTAATAAAATAAATTGAAGTTGCTGACCTGATTATAACGAGAATTTTATATATGTATATGTGCCCCTAACATGTTTATGTACAGAAATAAAAAATACATATATTCGGATGTAACATATTATATTTCTATGGCACCACAGTTAAATTTGTACCTAGGCGCTTGGGCGTTATTGAGCGTCGCTTGTTTTTTTTTTTTTGTAAAATTGTTTTTTTTTTTGCAAAAGATAAAAATTTAGTTTTTGTCAGAGGGGACACCTGCATGTACATACATATACCGAGATAAATTTAAATAGGAAAAACGTACCTAAATACAAAATTTGATCCAAATTGTTAGAACCGTTTCCGAGATATACGAAACAAATATATATACAAAAATTGCTCAAAATGTTGTAAGATTCAATTCATTATGACGTGTATATTATTATATTATTTTATTTGAAAGCAAACCCACATGCAGATGTTTGTATCAGATCCCTTTTGATACTTGCCTTCCTCTTCAAGAGTAGCTCGTAATAGTTGAATCGTTTTGGATTTGTCTCGACTATTGTTAGAGAATTCGGTAGTTAGAGAGCTGCTTGTGGGACAATGACGGTGCTTTTCTCAATGAGATACTCCACTTATTAGTATACTTGTCAATGAATTTGGGCTTATTATTTACATGTTTTTGCCTCTGACTCCACTCAGTTATAGAGGCATGTATTCAGCCCTTTTTGATGTCCCACTGCTGGGCACGGGCCTCCCTTCAATACGAGGGGGATCAGGCCATAGTCCACCACGCTGGCCAAGTGCGGGTTGGCGGACTAATATAAAGGCATATTATGTTCAAATGTGCCTTGTCTTATTAATTTAGTTATTACTTAATGAGAAAAGATAGCACACAGACAGTTACTTTCACACTCTTTATATTAGTGTAGACAAAGATGGATTCATCACATTAATACAATATAATATCTCTAGATTTTAAATAATATATTTATATTTTAAGTTTTATTATACAGGTATACTTTTATTGAAATACAAATATCTTTAAGAATTTATATAATATAATACTACTCCTTTACCAAGGATTCAGTAATTATAAAGTTAAAAATTCTACCAATAGTCCAGAGTCTCAGCGCTAGAGTAGCTTTAACAATTAACCTTTGTTACATTACTGCGATCAAATTTAATTTTTCAACATATACGTAATTTAACTCAAAACCACCACTACTAACTAAATAAGAAGGAAAACGTCAATCCATGCTAGTATGATAAATAAATATGTTGGTACACTTTTTTTTAAATGTGAAAGTATGTTTGTTTGTCCTTCTTTCACGTCGAAATGGAGTGACGAATTGGAGTGATTTTTTGTGTGGAGATAGTTGGAGGGCTGGAGAGTGACATAGGCTACTTATTACCGCGGGAGATTATCTCATTCCCACGGGAAAACACGTTATAATACAGTCGTAGTACATATATTATAAATAATACTTTCTTTGATTTACGTGAATATTGACACTTTAAATAAAACAATGTTTTTCACATATTTTGTGATTTTATTTTGATACTTGGTTCACGACGTTTCGAATGCTTTACAGCAAACACATTCTTGAGTACGATCTTTAACGTCTGACAAGTTATTGTATATGTAGGTATTACAGGCGGTGTCTATCAACTAAATTATTGGTAAAAAAACTCTGAGACTGAGTCACTCTAGTTTAAGGTTAGCCTAAATTTGTTCCAGAAATATCCAATTTCCCATATTGGCTAGTAAATCACCCATCAATCACTGACGATACAAACGAGCGGAACACATTACGCGTTCACTTTCCATTTACTTTTGAGCTTTTTATATATTTTGTTTTATTTCTTTCCATCAATAACATTATATTCGATAGTTACTACGAATAGATGTACTTGTTAAAGGATTTATGTTGTGTGTATTTTAAATTCGATAGAATTCTTAAACCGAACGAAAATTCAGGGAATAAGAGTATTTTGGTCATTATTTTTAGTTATGCTGACTTTGAGTAAAACATAATTTTATTTTTAATGATTGCAGTAATCTATATTTATAATAAAATTGTAACTGAGTCGAATCTGTACATTGAATATATTTTGGAAAATATTATTGATATAGTCATTATTATCGATACAGAGGCCGATTCTATAATTCTGTCTGGGATAGTCACGAGAAAACCACTGGACAAATTTTGATAAGGTATGATGATAGCTAGTTATCTGGGTTAATTTAAAGCATACTTTTACTGCGGAAAAATATGTCAATCCTGATAAATCTATACTAAACGTTAAAACCATGAACGAATTTAAAACGTGTCAAATTAATAAGTAATATGCATGTATCTTTCATTTATATGTAATTTTATCATATTACGAGTATGTGTTATAATATTTAAAGTGCATGTTCAAATGCTTCTTACTACTTTCTGTACATCAAATAAGATTAAAAATATTCATTTACAAAAATTAAATTCTGAAAGATTTTGTAAGCTCAATAAATAAAACGCCTACGCGATGTGCAAAACTTCAAGGAGAACTGTTCATTTAAAAGAAATGTGTCGATAAATTTTTATTTTTATAAATAATTTATGAAAGTACTTCACGTCAGAAGTCGCTATAAAATTTATCGGCACTAAAATGTTGAAACGCTTCTATCGAAACATATTTGCTTAAAAGTACTAACTGTAATGCATTCTATTTGTTTTTTAGTTTTAAATTTACTTTTAGTCGGTGCTCAAAATTACACTGGAAATTGTGATGAGAGTTTGTTTGTTAACAATATATCATCATCTTTAGTCAATTTGCTGGGAGTAGATGAAGACAGCAACAGAATAAAAGAATTAAAAGAAAAGTTAAAGAAAATAGACAAATATGTTATAGATAAAAATAAATATGCTGAGCTTCTATTAGATGAAACTATGAGAACAGAACTAAATGAGACAAACTTCCACAACGCTTTGAATGAAATAGACCATTTTAGATTTTTAATTGAAAAGGAACCTAAAAACTTATATTTGAAGCTAAAAGAAAAAATGACAAGAGATGATATACTAAAGATTTTAGCAGAACGAAATAAAAGTCGGAAATTTTCTAAATCAGCTAGAAAAATGATGAATAATGTTTTAGCGGATAACATCAATGATGAAATTATAGATAATGTTGTAGACAAAATAATAGCACAATCTCCAAAAGATAATCACAAATTTAAGTACGATATAGAAGATGACAAGTATTGGGGTATTTATACTCTGTATTAAAGTATAACATTTTTATTTTTAATAATAACATCAAAAATATTATTTATTTGCGTTAAACATTTTATGTGATTCTTCTATGACTATTTTTTTTCAACTAATTCATTTCTTTGATAGCTGTGTTTAGATAATATATATATCATATTAATAAAGTTTTTCGTTAGTAAAGTTATATGTATACCCAAAAATCAAGATCTCAAGATATAACCAAGTTCTTTGCATTAATTCTTCACCATGGAATCTTCAAAATTATCATGTAACATGTGTTCCAATCTCAAGACTTTACACCAGTAGAGCTTGTTGCATAGAAGCTTAAAAGTTTCGACTACTTTATCTTAATTATTAACATAAACCATTTAATTTTACAAAACAGCCATACTTCTTATTTTGCAGACCCTCAACAAGAGTTAGAAGATCTTAAAGAATTTCATCAACATGATGGTCGAAGAATTTTTAAAGGGGAAAGAACTACGATCAGATATTACCCATTTATGGTGTCTATACACGTGATGGGCAGATTTTGGTGCGGAGGAGTTATCTATTGGCATGATCTCGTCCTAACATCCGCTGCCTGCCTTCAATTGTATGTCAAAATAACTTACCATCCTTACTTACTCCATAAAATTATTCTTAAAATAAAGTTGTTTCAATTCAAATAAAAATCAGCAATACTGAAATATAAGCAAAAATTTAGGTTCATAGTATTCTCAAGAGTTTTATTTACTAATTGTTATTCTTTTACATTTATTGTTTTAGAATGCATAACAATAGATTTTTTCGAGAGAACCCGAGCGTGCTCCGAGTACGGGTAGGCAGCAACCACAGTCGCATCGGAGGAGAAATGGTGGACGCGCTTGAGGTACAGTTAGAGTGTCACTCATTGTAAAAAAAGAGTATTTAATATGATACAATTGGCATTTACTGTACAAGTATAAGTTTTAAAAAATCCTGAAGGTAGATAAAATGAAGTAATTTTGTATTTAATATCAGATGTTATGTTGAAAGCATTAAAAGGAACTGTTTACAACCGATTACTTTTTTGATACTTCTGTCTAGTACAACTTATGTAAATCATTGATGGAATTGACTTATATATGTTTATTTACCACTAGCGACTCACTCTCGCTTCGCTCGCCTCTAGGTTTATTCCCCATACAAACTTTCATCCCTATTTTCACCCTCTTAAAGGATGATTTCCGGGATAAAAAGTATTCTATGCGCTTCTCAGGGTCTTAAACTATCTTTTTACCAAATTTCATCAAAATCAGTTCAATAGATCCAAAGATTACCCTCTATAACGTCACAAACTCATAATTCACAAACTCACAAACTACCTAAACCTCTTTATAATATTAGTATAGACAAATATATTTTGATATTGCACACCAAACTAGATTATTAAAAAAAATAGTGCCTTATTAAAATTCTTAATTCTCTGTGATAAAAGAAAATTAAGCGTTGGATTTATTTATTTTATTATTTTCAGGTTTACTTCCATCCAGGATACAACCCACGCACTCTTCGTCACAACATCGCCGTCATCAGACTCAGGAGGCATCTTTTCTTCAGCTACCATCGAATTCCGAAAATGATCAGTATATCACATAATAAACTTGGCCTTTCTCCGACATCTGAAGTACTACTTTTGGGTTGGGGAGTCACTAAGGTTATATTTTTATTGAATAATATCAATCTAAGCTCAAATATTTTTGGTTACATTTTGGACATTATAGACGACGCGTTTTGCTCAGTTTGTAGTGACCCTACTTGCTGCGCTGGCGGTCGCGGGTTCGAGTCCCGATGGGGGCATTCATTTGTGTAATCAGCATGAATGTTTGTACTCCAGTTATGGATGTTTATATTAATAATATTTATGTATTTAAAATTATATATGTGTGGTGTATCAACTATCTGGTATCTATAACGCAAGCCTCCTAGCTCACCATGGAACTAGATGGTGCTGTGTTAATGTCCCAACATATTTCTTTATTTATTTTTATTCTGTAATTTAATATTTGGTGATATTTGGTCTAGTAATCAAAAAAAAATACTGATTCTAAGAATATTCTTATAAAAGATAGATATTCAAATTTGTAAAGACATGGTCACAAGAAATTTATAGAATTCCTTTTAGAAATTTAGCAAAGGGAAGTAAAGTGAAACGAGGGCATATCTCTCTAACTAGCTGTTTAGATATATGTTAAAATAATGTAATGTTATCATTTTTCGTTCTCATAATACTGTCTTAGATTTACGCGAATATTTGATAATATATTAAATAAAACTATCTTTCAGATTTTTTCGCGGATTTATTTTGATTTTTGGCGCCCGACGTTTCGAATGCTTTAAAGCTATCATGGTCACGGGCGAGACTATGATTTTAGACGTTGTTACAGACAGTGCCTACCCACAATTTTATGTTTTTACAAAAATGATTTCATCAATTCAAAAATAGCATCAAAGTACCTTACAGTGATTGTTGATTTTAATTCTAAGCATTTCTTTTTAGCAAGTTACGGATTTACGGTCAACTTCCCAACTCCAAGTTGTTACTGGAACTTTCTTAACATAAAAACTTAAGTCTTTATGTTAAGAACGTTCCTTTAACAACTTGTGGAAAAAAAATTAGCCCATCCCGGGGTATGAACCTCCGAATACTAGCCACTATACCACCGAGACAGTTTTATTAGCTATTTACTATAAATAACTCACTATACAAATCAGTTCATTTGCCATTTTCATAAGTATCTTTCTTTTCCAGATGTCACAAACTTTATCGTACGAGCCAGTATTTCTCAATAGAAAGTTACTACCGATCTATCCCAATGTGTTTTGTAAAGAAGTGTACGGAAAGTAAGTTTATAAGTTACACTTTTTTCTTTCTTATTTTCGTCTCAAATCGATGTTTTAGACAATATATGTACTTTCTTTAAAATTCAAAGAGGTTTCTTTATAACTGTTCTTATGTGAACTTCAATCTTTTTTACCAACTTCAATAATAAAAGAGTAGTTTTCTGTTTAACTGTACTGAAAGAAAGTTTAACTGTATTGAAAGAAAGTTACGACACGTTTGGCTCAGTTTGTTGCGGTCGCAGGTTCGAGTCCCGCTGGGTGCATTCATTTGTGTGATGAGCACGAATGTTTGTACCTACTCCAATCATGGATGTTTATATTGGATACAATAAAAACGTTGAATGTCTGTACATAGAAAAAAAATCTAAAAACTGAGTCAGGGAGATGTAAGAAAAGAAATAGAACAAATACAGATTTTTTTTTTAATTTTGTTTCTCTGTCGGTTTGTCTGTTTGTACGGACTAATCTCCGAAACTGTTAAACCGATGCAAATGAAATTTTGCATGGTGGTATCTTATAGATTAGGTCAACATTTTAGATACTTTTCATACCGGTAAATTAAAGAGTTCCTGTGGGGTATTTAACAAAATATAGTGTCTAATTCCCACGAGAAAACACGTTATAATACAATCCAAAAAATATTAATGATCAGAATTACTTGAAACTTGGTATTAATGCTCTATAATAAAATAACATAAATACGTGTTTTAGTATTTTTTGAAATTCATCATATAAAGGGGTAAAATAGGGAATGAAAATTTGTATGATACTATCTTTTTAGATATTATTCTTAGTTTTAGCCCGACCGATTGTAAAGTATGCCTGAAGGCCTCATGTAAATTTCAAAAATAACTTTAAAGGTGGCACCTTAAAATAATGTCACTAGCATTATTTTAAGGGATTTTGAGTATTTTGACGTTTTTTCACAAGTGATTATAAATAGAATAATACGTTTGTTTACACCAAACAAAATTTTAACCAAGGAGTGAAATCATGAAATCTCTTTTTCAGCAAGTTTGTAAGCGAAACAATGTTTTGTGCTGGAACATTTACAACAGGTGAAGGAGCTTGTGATGTAAGACTTGTTCATACATATATTATATTCGTATTTATTTACTACTTATCTATATGAAACACTCATCTATATCTTTTATATAAATGTAAAGTTTGTTTTCTGTTAATTTGTTTGAACGCGTTAATCTTTGGAAGTACCGATCCGATTTAAAAAAATAATAATATTATGGAAGATATAGGCTTTTAAAATGAAATTATGTAGAAGATCGGCAATTATAAATTATTATCTATACATGTAATAAAATAGTAACAAAACGAAATTTGTATATTAAGTATTTTTTTATTAAAACAATAACTTTTACGTATTGTGCAAAAATTTAGCAAATATAATTTTAAACTTACTCTCTAGCTTTATACTTGTGAGCCGTAATATTAGTATAGATAATTTATGACCCGGGCAGTATGACAGGGTACTTTTTAACTTGTTACAACAAGTTCGTATGGAATATCAGGAATTATATTAAAAAAAGTCATGAGTCATTATTTAGTAATAAAAACTTAAAATGAAACTGTATTTTACAATTTTTTCACGGATTTTTTTTGTTTTTTTCTTTGGTTCCCGACGATTCGAATGCTTTACAGCAATCATAGTCACGGAGATACTGAAACCCGAAACGGTAGTTTTATTTAAAAGATCATTTAGTATTAAATAAAAACTTTATTTTTAAATAAAAAAAAATAGTGTATGTAACCTTTACGCGCGGTTGAAATAAAACTTCTTTGGCGCTGTGGCAGATATGGCAATAAAATTAAAACAAATCAAAATATAAATATGATATTTTTTATAAAATTATGAATAATAAATATATCGGTATTTTTATAAATATTGTTTAAAATATCTGTATTTTATCTATTGTATGTGTGTATTGTGTAGTATCTAATAAAAATAAAAAATAATTATAAAAATATAAATATTATACATATATTTTTAAATATTCATAATAAATTTGACTATCACTTCCGGCACTCATTTTTCCAATGTATTGACTTACCCCTAAATAAGTATTACTTCAAAAAATATTTATAGAATTAAAAAAAAAACAACAAAATTTATATATTGTTTATGATGACACCTTTGGCTCAGTTTGTAGTGACCCTACTTGTTGTGCCAGCGGTCGCGGGTTCGAGTCCCGCTGGGGGCATTCATTTGTGTGATGAGCATGAATGTTTGTACTCCAGTCATGGGTGTTTATATTTATAATATGTATGTATTTAAAGTTACATATGTGTGTAGTGTATCAACTATCTGGTATCCATAACACAAGCCTCGTAGCTTACCATGGAACTAGATGCTGCTGTGTATTAATGTCCCAAAATATTTATTTATTTATATAGCATGACGCGGGCGGGCCGGCACTGTTATCGGGACAGCTAGTAGGCATCATCTCTTTCGGCCCAGCTTTTTGTGGCGCACAGAACGTGCCCACTGTCTTCACATTAGTTGGAGCGCACGCTGACTGGATAGATAATGTTAACGAATCAGTAAGTATACATTTAATGTAAGTAAGCTGTTAGTTATTTGGGTAAGTTCAAATATCAACTTAAAAGCTTCAAACGCTTACCAAAGTTTTACCGCGACTTAACTGTATGATTTCCCAAAAACTATCGAATTCCTATCAAAAAACAAAAACAAATCTAATCCACGGGAACCGCACTTTTTTCCGGGATAAAATGTAACCTTTGTGTGATTCTGATGTATGAGCAATATTATTGCAAAGTTTCATTAAAAATCCATTCAGTAGTTTTTGCATAAAAGAGTAACAAACATACATCCATACATACATTCTTACAAACTTTCTCGTTAAAAGTAGTAAAATTGGCTTACAGTTGACGACACAATACACAGAAAAGTATTGCAAAATAGAGCATCTCTTTTTTCAAAGTTCATTTCCTAAATTGGTGCCTCTTTATCAGAGTATACAATTGTCGCCCAAAAAATCCCATTCAACAGGTTCAACGACCCCGAAGGAAGTAAGAACAATTTCAAGTACCGTCGGCTTTAACTTAATCACTGTCAGGATTACAATTTACTACTGTATATTAGTACCATTTGTTTAGTCACTTCCACCTAAGATTTCCTTAACGTTTTGTCAACAGTATTGAGATCATTTAAACTGAAATTTCTACCTCGATTTCTGTAATTTTTATTTTTTTTAATTTTCGACTCTATCTTTTTTTCATCTCGCTTACAACATATAGGTATCCCTCTCACACCCTTTTCCTCGATGTGGGTTCAATACTCAAATAGCAATACCCAATACCCATTTAGCATGTACATAATAATTTAGCCCTTTTTTAGCCCAGCAGTGGATCAATGAGAGCAAGCCAGTATCCAAAACGCTGGCCAATTGTGGGTCGGCGGACTTCACACATGGTTTTAGGATTTTTTACTTAGGATCTCCCAGATATGCAGATTTCCGCCCGATGTTTTGCATATGAAAATATCAAAACGAACAAGACCTGGATTTGAATACGCTTCACATATGTAGTTTTCAAAGAGAGCGCGTTACTAATAAGCACATTGTGATTTTCTATTCAGTTCTGATAACCCTTATCTATGACCCTTGCTTTATGAGACCTCTCGAAGATGGCACAGGTTACCTTTATTGGTTTGGTGGATTTCAAAAATAAGAAGGTACTCAAATCAAGTAGCTATATATTTTTACGTGATATCTTACGTGATATGTGAGCCAATTATGAACCGAATATTTTATTAATTTTACCTCACTAGTATGATAAATTAAAAAAATGAACTTCTAAGAATAGGGTTACCTTTAACGTGAATTTGAAGTTCGTGTGATTTTTTTAAATTCAAAAATAAGCATATTTGTAAGGTTTCAAAGAGATTTACGAATAAACAGACCGAATATCGGCCAAATTTTTTTTTAAACTGTCGATATATGATTTTTTTATATGGTGTTCAGTGGCAAACGACAGGCAGACAAGGAACAATAGCTCATCTTAGGTGCTTTTTGGAGCTTTGATATATAGTAGGTTTACATTTTTTTTTGAGTTTTATTTATAGACCTGGCTAAACTAAATATATTGTAGTAGATATTAAATAAGTTTAAAGTTTATAAGTTTATTTCAATAATAAAAATAATTTTTAGTTTTTTTATACACACGATTATCTTATTTGATTTCATTACAATAGATGCCAAGCTACTACCATGGTAAGAAGCGTACGACGACACTCGAGCCATTTACATATTTCCCGGAGTTCAAACCAAATCGTCCCATAATAACTAGAGCTCGGACTGAAGTAGCTGGCACCACTAAATCCTCCACAAGTGCCGCTGCGAGGATCAAACAAATGATTGCCGAAGACTCTGATATGGAAGGGTTTAGTATTGATTCGAAATAAAATGAACCTGTTAAAAGAATATTTTAGTTTTAATTTTTACGAATGGTTCATCGTGAACTTGCTTCAACCTTTTTTTGTTTATACTGGGGAATCCCAACATAGAGACCCAGCTGGCTATGAAAGGGCAGGGGACTATGAAAATCCTACAGTTTGTTGCAGGATTAGGCTCGCGCACACACTACTACACTCCTAACTCGCTTCAGCCTAGTCCTTCTTAATGTCCACTGCTGGGCGTGGGCCTCCCTTAACACTAGGGGAATCAGGCCATAGCTCACGCTGGCCAAGTGGGGGTTGGCGGACTTTATACATATTTTAATCTAATCCAGTCCAATAGGAGCCCGTGTTTCTAGTATGAAAAGCTTATATTGATATTAGCTTATTATGGTAGGCATTAAAGTAAGCGAAGTTTATTGATAGACTTGAATATAATGTATAAGATATACAAATTGCCTCAATACTGTAGTGGCTAGCATGTACGGCTGCAAATCCTGAGGTCCTGGGTTCGAGTCCCAGGTTGGGCCAAATTTACTTAATACTTTTTGAGTACTTCTGTTAAGCTTTCTTATGTTTCTTTCCCAGTATCCCTGGGTAGGAAAGTTGGCGGTGTTTTACCCGATTGTATACGACAGCACGTAACGCTGTCAGTCCTGCGTCTCATCCCACCGATCGTGTCGAATTATCATCATCATAAGATATATCATAAATAATAATGAGAATCCTTGTCACTTTTTAGTGCCTCAACGAATTGGTATAAGATTTGGGATGTGGGTTAGGTTTTATCCGCAGAAACAACGTGCATATCACGCAAGTGATGCTGAGGACAAAAACTAGTCTGCTATAAACAATCCCGTTTTACAAACTACTACAGTAGTAGTAAGTATTCTCTATAGAGTCAATAAATTCCCAATTGTGTTACGTCTCCGGTGCGAGCATTCTCGCTTCACTAAACGATAAATTCGAATATTAGTTTATAATAGAAATTCGTAGAGAATTCAGAAGCTATAATATCTGACTTAGATTAATGCAACTAACTTCTCTTTCTAGTTTTACTCGTTGTGTACTTCCGTTTGCATTACAAACAATGGCTTTATGCGGGACCACGGTATTGAAGCCGCAAGCTTTTGGTTTTGGTGAATTAATTTCAATGGAACTTACTGTCTAATAATTAAACTATCGTACTTTTACTGCATTCATCATATTAATAGATATAGTTTTTATTTTCAGTAGATTTTAAGTGAAGGTACTAATATTTCTACCCTTTTTTACTGTAATTGTATAAGCTGGAATAGTCTAAGACTTAATATTAATATTTAACACTAGTTTTTGTTTGCGGTTTCACTCGCGTGGTAAGTGGGATTAGGTTCAAAAATAGGCTACGTCCGTCTCCAGTTCTTGCCAAATTTTCTACAACTTTCTAGACAGAATTACTTTTATATTTATAATATTTTATATAGTATGGATTATTCGCAAATTATATATTAATTATACTAGCTGATTTGGCAGAACTTATCCTGTTAAAAATTTAATAAATAACTTCGTGATCTTTAAATCCATACTAAACTCCTTTAAACACCCATTTTCGATTTTAAATATCTTAATATTCTAGTCCAATCTTTCCTAAAAAATATTCGAATTATTAGCCAAATCTTCCGAGCCGTACCTATATAACTTTTTTATTTCTCGGTGAGCGAATAATATTTATTATTTTATTAAATTAATGAATCTTAAGCTTCAAAACTCATCCTATATATTTACCAAAGTTAAATCTACCTTTCAAGTACTTTTATATGGTGTCACAAAGTACACTGCGCCAAAACCTTGTAAATCTTATAATCACCTGATTTCTGCTTCTTATTTAGAAAAGCTTAATATCTCTCTCTGTAGAGTCTAAACAATGCACTGTTGTAGCTACGTTTCTACGATAAGTTGAAGCATGTTTATGACACTTTTTATTGTATTGTTATAAAAAGCTAACTCAAACGAATTTTCCATTTTTTCAAGGCTATATTTGTATAAGTGCTCTAAGGGTAGATTGAGTAACTCGAAAACTATACATATTAGGTCTCGTTAAACGAAATTTGGTGTTTAATATCCTTCTTTTTAACGTCCCAAAGCTGGGCACAGGCCTCCCTTTAATACGAGGAGGATCAGGTCATAGTCTACCACGAGTTTCAAATGCGGTTTAGCGGACTTTATATGTCTTTCGAAAACTTGTTAGGTTCTCTCAGACATGGCGGGTTTTCTCACGATGTTTTTCTTCATCGTAGGGCAAGTGGTAATCGTGTTGGAAATTATTCGCACATGAAAATATCAGAGGTGTAAGACTCGGGATTTAAGCCCGCTTCACTGGTTTCCAAGCGAGCGCGTTACCAATGCGTTACTTACTATACTTTTTTTAATTAATATTGATATTTTTAATATTACACTTATTGTATGTCAAAAACTCTACCAGCAGCTCGGAAAAAAGTCTCACATCTAAGAAGAACTGCTTGCCAAAAGAAACTCAGGAAGACTATAACAAAGTAAAAGTAATAGTTTTTTTTAAATATGGTCAATATATCAAAGGACCGTTACATTAACAAATAAAAAATGTTCGCTAAGAATACAGTTATAATGCCTATATAATTTTACATAATATATTAATTACCAGTCGGAGTCTAAGTTTAATATAAATAATGCAAACCACATTTTACAGCTTCTGGGTGCTAATTGTTTACTATTTATCTTTAATTAAAGCACTCTATTAATTGTGCCTTTGTTCTTGATAATTTATAAATGTCTATTTAGGCCCCCCGCAGACTGCAACCTTATATTGGTCGATTTTTAAGTCGGGATGGATTATTCACACACGATTGGCTAAATAAGCTGGATGGTTAGTGTAAATTGTTAATTGATAGGCTGTTCTTGGAAAATAGTCGCGTAAAAAGAGATTACCAATAGAATAAAACTAAATCGTTATTCTTAATAAGAGAAAAAAATATATAAGAGATTGAATACATCCTTTCTACAGCCAGAGCTTATAATTAATAGGTAAGAAGTCATAATACTATTATGATTTAAAAAAAAAACAATAAACATTCCGATCGTTGACAATGATACAATTGATAATAGGAATGCCATTATTCAATAATATTATATTTAAGTCCAGCCCAGTTGCGTGCGTGAAAGAACAATACTCACCGATTCTTTTTTTAATGTAACACATTATACTTATTATTGTTCGCTTGAAATCAAATTGTTATAATATTCTTAATTCATAATTCAATTTAAAGTCTACAGTCTGTAGATGCCCTTAAAAGTCGCAAACACAAAGACTAATGAATGATTTAATCAAAATGTATTTAATGTGTTCTCTCATGGAGGTGACAGATCGTCTTGAAGCGCCCTTTAATTTCGAATTTTATTTTCGATTTCTTGCTGAGTGTTGATTGGTAGAGTTAAAGATGCGTTTCAAGAGATCGTATGTAATAGGGTTAATTATCAAATGCTGGTTACTAAAAGTAAAAATTTTCTATCTCTTTATTTACCCGAAAAATATGATTCTCTGTGACGATTTTTAACATATTATGTATGTATGTAACTTGATGTATTTATTAAAAAGCGTCTAAATTCCAGCAAAATTCTTAGTCTTTGCATATTACTCGTATAATAAGTTTTAAAAATCTAATACTTTTGATAGCCTTGTGCCATATAATAATATTATCTGTGCTAACGTGTTATTAAAGATATATATAGATATAAGAAAAAACCAATAGGTTTTTTCTTTTTTAACCGACTTCGACTTACTAAATGTTTAAATTTGTACCAATAACTCCTTTACGCTCAAAATTAAAACGTTCTACCGAGAAGTATTAGATAATGCAATTATGAATTATTATATTTACTTAGAAAATAACATCATAACTTAAATTGTGTTTCATAGTTTAAAGTTAGTAGAATTAATTAAGGTATGCAAATTACGTCTTTATTGTATAAGCCCCAAGGGCAATATTTACTTAACCTTATTTACATGAATGTATCCTAATGAACTTTCGACGAACTAATATGAAGTTCGTGACTGAATTTAATAATATAGCGCAGTGGTACAATGATTAGCTCTTACTAACGTAACGATTTGTTAGGCTGGTTCCTGTTCCAGTCAAAAAGCGATGCATATTTACATATAGATATCGAAATAATAATTTTTTACTTGGTATATATTTGTATAAATACCAAGTATATATGTGCATCCTAATATTTTCTAAGATTTTCGCAAACATTTAACATTTTGCTTAAGTTTTATTGAGCTTAAAGTTTGCTGTTAAGTAATACTTTCTTAGATTTACGTGAATATTTGATATTTTAAATAAAACTTTTATATGAGACTTTTATTTGCTGTAAAAACTATAGATACGGCCTCTTTTAATATTTAATGTACAGATTTGACTCAGTTAGAATTTTATTATATCTATAGATTTAGTGTTATATTTTTTAATAGTATGACGTATGTATATAGTATTGTAAGGACATTATATGTAAATTAAAAAAATCATTCAATTTTGAACTGCGATCCCCTGGATTAATATGAGGTCCGTACATTAAAAGTAGAGTAAAACCTTAAAAACGCATGCGCCAGAGCTCTCAACGTAATGGTGCCTTTAAGGATTAACGCTGACTGTAGAATTATTATACAATAACTACTTTAGTATATTTTGATTAAATTGTATATTGATTTATCCATATGTCGTATAAAATAATAAATTGTTTTCTTTAAGATATTTAATATAATAAGTTTTAAAATTGTAGTACAGTCACAAAACTTATAAGCTAAAAAATCACATCAAAGATATTAAGTTCATTTCTATGACTCTTTAATCTTATACGAAATCCTATTAGCTTATGAAAAAAATGTATATTTTACAAAAAGAATGAAATACTCGTATATTATGTTAAGACATGGCGAAGTAAATAGACTGTGGAATGGCAACGATATTGCTGTAAACTTTTAATCGACTCGA